AATATTTGTTTTTTTTAGTAAAAACCCGTGTTTTTAAAGAAAAATATAGGAATTTCTTTGGGCTGAAGTACATTTCCCGGGCTAAGGTTCATTTTCCCTACTGTATTTATTTATTTCGAATTAGTCAATTTAATATTAAGTCTACACATATTTAAAAATACAATCTTTGTGTAAATAATAAAATAATGACCCAAATTAATTAAGCACTAACTCAAAAAAGCATACAGAATAACACATTTTACATTCATAACAATTATTATAGTATTTTTTAATCGTTTTTGCCATATATCGCATTATAGAGATATTCCTGGGTTTATAAAAATATAATTATAGATTTTAGTCACGTTTTTAATTGTTAATTCATTGACATGTGATTTATTAAAAGACAAATTTAAAAGAGTGTTATCTTAAAACAAATTTAATGCATTTCAAATAAAATCCAATTGAATAACTTGGTTATATTGAATATAATTAATAAGAAATAATAACTTATAATATAAAAATGTATTGAAGACACCACCCATCTCTAAATGCGCACTACTTTAATTCGATTGGCAAAATAATTGCACAATAGAAATCCATTGTTGTTCTAAAAATAAATTTAAATAAAACCGAAAAACAACCAATTCCCTTTGATTTTTTTAATGAAACTTAGTAACTACTTATAACCAACTTTACAACAAGATGTCGTCTAATTGTACACACAACCCACAACTTTCACAGTCTGTGGTTGAAAGAAGCACGTTGACTAATCTTCAGTGTGCGTTACTGGCGTTTCTTTCCATTCGTGCAAATGTTATAATTGCCAAGCCACAGAAGTCGACCAAATTTAGTAAACAGTTTTTAGTCCTCCGTCAGATCAATTTCACTGATGAAAATTTCATATTTGACGTCAACACTTTTGTTACAAAAAGAATACAAGATCGGATGAATATCATGCGTACAATGGGATTATCAGATAAAACCGCATATCGAAAAACAATGAACTTTAAAAAGAGAGAAGTTTTAGAAGTATTAGAGGACTTGTTATTTGAGGAGGGATTCATCGTGTTATATCAAAAAATTAATAGAGAAGGTGTAAGAGGAGATATCTCAATCAAAATGCCCAATGGAAAAGTTATTGGTAAAGAAATAATTATGAAACTTGGAAATAACGTTTGGGACTTTTGTCTGCAAAAATTTAAAAAATCCAAAAAAATTGTTCTTAATTCGGAAAATGTGTTGGGGCTGATTCATGACGCTTATTGTGTTGAATAACTTTTTGCGTGTAATAATATTTTTATAGTAGACGTTAATGTTATTTTCATTTTTTTGTTGTCATTTGAAAACGTGTTAAAACGTTGGAATATTTTTATTTACTACGGTTTGAAATATAAACTAACAGTCATTCTCTATAATAATAAGTGTATAATTATCATTAACGTTAATTTTATAAATAAATATCTTTATACATATCAACGAGTTGATATTATTTTGGTTACCTGTAGTAATATATAATAATAACAATTGTCAATCAAGTATTATTTGAATTTTTTTTGAACAAAAAAATATAAAGAGCAATTGTTGTTATTTAAAATAAATAAATAAACAAACAGTTATATATAATATGACTATTATGTCTATATATACTATATGATTATTCTAAAATGATATAGTATTTAAGTTTATCATACTTAAATATCACTATATTATATAACTTATAATATACACAGTATTTTAAATAATAAATGAATAAAACCATATAGTATTATTGGTATAATTAAATTAAATTTAATATAAAGTGACTTCCCCAAGGTGTGCAAGTTAAAATTATTAGTCTTTTTTACAGGGAAAGGGCGTGCAAGACTAAATTTTAATTGAAAAACATTTTATTGAAAATGTTATTCGTTTCCAAATTGTTTCAAAAAACACACAACCCTTTGGTGCTTGAATTAATAAACTACAAAAAGCAAATTAAATTATAAAAATTGGGTAATGGTTTGTCTATGTGTTTAATGTAAAAACTGTTTTGTTTCAAGAACGTGAATAAATGTCGATGTCTCTTGTGTCAGCGTAATTCAAAGCGACAAGAAGAAAGTGTAATAAACATTATGTTTTTCTCTGTGCCATTTTATAGCATACAATAACAAATAGTCTGTTTAATAGGTGCAGTTCATTGTTACAAATCGATGTGCACTGTTGTCCAGAACTGGTCCTTCGATAATTTCCATTGGGTCGCTTTCCCGAAATTGTTGCTTAGTTAATTGTATTCGAAGTGTGAAAGTTAAG